TTGCCTCCCATATCTGCACCAACAGGGGATCGAACCCACAACCTAGGTATGTGCCCTGACTAGGAATGGAACCCACAACCTTTTGGTGTATGGGACAACACTCCAGCCAACGGTGCCACCTGGCCAGGGCTGTTGTTATTGATTCAATGTGTTTGTGGATTGACGCACCAGGTGCCCATGAGGCACTTCTCTCTAACATAGATAGAGATCGCTCGTGAAACTTGAGGGCAAGCATTCTACGTTGCTGAATATTTGGAATGTGCTTGAGTTCAGAGGGGCTTTCTCATCACAAGGGAAGANTAGAGATCGCTCGTGAAACTTGAGGGCAAGCATTCTACGTTGCTGAGTATTTGGAATGTGCTTGAGTTCAGAGGGGCTTTCTCATCACAAGGGAAGAGATTGGGAATCTCAGAGGTTTCTTGGTTGTCCACTCTTAGAACTGTGGCTTGAGAAGTCTGGTGGCAAAAAGAGTGACAACGTGTTGTCTGGAAGAGGCCTTGCCACTGCGCGAGATGTGCCAAAATCAAAAAGCAGCTCAGTGAGATCAGTTCTTGCTGCCATTGCTATTTCTGGGGCTTGAATCGCACTACCTAGAGACATCCAAGTCTATGTATTTAGCACATTCATTCTCTGGGTAAGAACAAATTATGAACCTACAGCCTATTCTTCTTGAAAAAGAAAGAAAGAAAAGAGTGCTGAGATTAAGACCTGAAAATTGATGTCTTGAATCTACCCAAGTCCTTTTCAGTTAAATACCATTGTCCTGTGGATCACATTAATCTGCTGTAGACTGTAAGTTCTCTAGGACCAGAACTTGTCTTTCAGAGGTTGTATAAAATGACGTAGACACTTTGATCACTCCTGGTATATACAGCAGACAGTTATTATTTATACCAAAAGAAAAAAAAAAAAAGGTAGGCTCTTTGCATGTCCCAGAAGCTTGGTCTGCAAAAGGAATCCCATTATATACATATTGTAATCCCGTTAAAACGTATTGTAGAGATACATATGTTCCTCCCAGGGAAAACCTGGTAACTCATTTCTCCAAGTCTAGAAAACAGACTAGTGAAAGTTAAGTCTAATTATGTAAAGCTTCTTTGCTTTACAAGACAGTTTTTCTAAAGTGTCTCTTTAAATAGCAGCTCCCTTTTTGGAGTATTCAAAACTGGATTTGCTTTACAAAATGTTTAGACTCAACTTTTTAGGAGCAAAGAGGGTACCCAGAAATGGAGCCCTGGATGTCAGGTGTCGATGGTGAAGTCTCACTCAGTGATCACAGCAAAAGCAAGGCTCTCGCCATTCCATCTCTGAGCCCATCAAAGTCAGAATGTCCAAATGTGGCAGGTGCCTTTTACAGGGCATTGGGTGCCCTCATTCCAGGAAGGAAAGCTAAGCCAGCATTGGGGTCATTGTCCATCATTAACTGTGTGGCTCTGGCGGCCCAGGGCATAGATTCAAGCTCTGAGCAATCATGCATTATTCAGCACGCACTGAATTATTCACTTAAATAAGGATACTTTAAAAAAAAAGAAGAAGATTGAGACAATTATGAAGAAAAAGCTGATAACTTTTATTCATGTAAATGGGAACAGAATTTTTTGGAGAAATAGTATATTTCTTCCTCCATATATAAAAGCCTTGGGCAAGGAGAGAGAAAGGGGCAGCTGAAGTAGGACTCGATAGGAACACAGGGTTGGAAGGGGCCCCTCTCTCCCAAGACAAACAACTTGTCCTCCCCGGGTCAAACTCTCTTTCTTGCAAAACCCTCTGCTTGCAAATACAGGTAGATAGGTGGGCGCCAATCATTCCTGCCATCTCGCAATTCTGATGTGCAGCAGGAAGGAAACTGTAGACTTCATCACTGGATGTAGCAAGGGAAGTATTGCGCAGGCACCGTGTTAGACTCCACGCGAGAAAGAACGCAAGACCTAGAGAGAAGAAAGATGCACATTTACAAGACGCCCAAGTGCCTCGTAGGACCCCGCGGTGTTTTTAAGCGCCGTTCCAAGCCAGCTTCTCCAGTACACAAATGAGATANTAAGACGCCCAAGTGCCTCGTAGGACCCCACGATGTTTTTAAGCGCCGTTCCAAGCCAGCTTCTCCAGTACACAAATGAGATACTTCATTTTGAAGGTGGCCACTGTAACCAAATACATTATTTGTGTTTCCCCAGGGGTTCTAATAGTTGATTAGCCTTTGTCCATATTCGTGCAGGCTGATAAGACTCTGAGGAAGTTCAATCGGTGGTGCCGAAAGGCCATTGTTAATAGGACAGCCCAGGCCTGGAGCACTTTAACAGCCTTGGGGCCAACGGAGGGGTACTTTGTAAGAAGCACAGTTGTGGGAATTTTCACAGGCAGTTCATTTCTGCGCTCCTCCGAGGGACTTCTTCATTTCCCCGCTGTGTGAGCCTTGTGTGTGCTCACCAGTGCCTGGGTTGTGGGAATAGGAGTGTTTCATACACCGAGTGGGTGTGGGACCTGGAGATGAGCGTGTGGGGGAAGAGAGGAAGGACGCGGGTCAGGCGCAGCGAAAGATCAGTTGGAGACTCCAGTGCAAAGGAAAACGGTTCATGGGAGTTATTTGATGTTAAAGACACGTTCCAGTCTGTGTGTCAGGTTCTGCCCCTCTCATCTCGCGGCTGCGCGCAGTTTCTGCTCAGAGCCAGGCCGGCAGAAGCAGGACTGGGAGAGGGGTGACCCTCAGCTGCTGAGGGAGGAAACTCTGGTGTGGCCCCCAGAGGAGCTGATCTCTAGAGTGTAAAAATGCGTTCCTGGGACCCGGCAGGAAAGGGCTGAGGGCGAGGAATCCGGCAGCCGGAGAGCTGGAGCTTCAACCCTTCCTAGGCACAGGAGTGCGGAAGGTGGGGTGCTCCCAGGGCGGGGGTGGGGGCCCCTCACAGCCCCCGGGCAGGGAAGGGCAGGGAACGGGGAACGTGCGGCAGAGGCTC